CTATAGTAGGATCATATTCGATGCAAAGTAATAAATCATTGCCTGTCAAGGGAACCAATGAAGTACGCTTTTAAGGGTTTTACAAATTGAATAATTTCTTTATACATTATGAAGGGATGATGGGATCAGTTCACATCTGGCACCCTTGTTCCTACAAAAATTCCTTTATTCTCATAAACTATTTATTTTAAATGTAATTTATTATAAATCCAATTTGTTTTTTAAATTTCACATATGCTCTCTAATTGACGAACAAGCTCGCCAGGTTAGTATTTGACGTATAACCGACCAGTTCGTACACTCGATGTACCTGGGCGACTATAGCTACTACCAGAACACAGTGCGTATGCAGTGGTATTTCAGATTTTACGTTCAATTTCATTTTAAATTTGAATAGTTCATCTTACGCCTCCTAAAAATGATAATACGATTTTTCTTTGATAAAAGACCGACAACTTTTTACTCTACTTTGCATCGAATACGATCCTACTATAGTTTTACTTACAATTACTAGTAACATATGTCGATCCACATAGATCTAGATAATATTTAATAAACCATGCAAAAATATTAATTTCTTATAAACAATCAAAAAATTTTAAGTTACACCCTGTATTTTTGTATTTTTTATAATAGTTTTCTGAGACAATCCTACAATGATTCTTTTAATGCGAAAGTCTCGTTAACTATTTTTTAATTTTTGTCACAGGAAAATTTTTTTCGGTTTAATTAAAAAACGGTTAATTTTGACAAAATTAACCAGTGGTTAATTAACGTTAATTTTGGTTAATAACCAAATCGATTTATTAACCTCGTACCAATATTAAAGTATAAATTAAATATAAATACTGAAAATTATATTATTCAAAATATTTCGTTTAACTCAATGTCTTTCAAAACCAATTTTAACGAATAATTCGAAAACCTTTATAGTTGCTATAATTCTGACAATTAATGCTGTTATTACCTCATCTTTGTCCAGTCTTTCATTAATGAGTTTCAAACTGTCCCTAGGCCTGTGCTTCCTAAATTCGATTTGTTCGGATAGTAAAGGGCACTGCGATGGCTCCCCACCGTCATGTCTCGCAGTCATCAAAACGGACACTCCATATTCCGGGCTGGAACATTCTCCATTCCTGTTTTTCGGAGGAGTGCTGCGATCGCACTGCCTGTTCAACACTTCAGCCGCCTGAATCGCGTTTTCATTTTCCGGAGTCTCGACAAGGTCCGGCATTGCAGAAGGCGGCTGGCGGGGCGTACACGGACCGTTTAAAGCTTCTATGAGGGAGACGGCTTCGTAACCAGGTGGGATATTGTCACAAGTACCCTACAATAAAACACAGACAATACCAATACCTGATTTCTAGTGTTAATGGAAACTCCCCCTCTTACTTACATCTGGTGGGTTTATGGGAGGTAAATTTGGGTTAAGAGATTTCTGCAAGGCACGGATTTGAAGTAGGGCCCTAAAGGGTGCCCTGCATATAGGGCAATTGTTCGCTTGGTACCTCAAGGAGTCGGCACAAGAATTACAGAGGCATAAGTGTCGACAGGGAAGTATAAGGGTATCTCGTACGTCGCACATGCAAATCACACACTCTGATCCGTTATCTTCTGTGTCATCGTCGCTACCAGCCTGAAAAATTGAAGGGCAAATATTATTGTAACTAGTAGAAATTTTACAAGCCTTGCAATAGGGAAGCTATATGAAATTGCGAATATACTAATTTTGATCTGTTGAATGTTACGACTGTTTTTAAAAATCAACAAGTTACCTACCTTATCATTATTTTTATTTTCTATTCCATATATTTCCTGTAATAAATAACAGAGCCCATCTACAAACAGCTTCTGTTTTAAAGCCTTCAGTATATAACTACCATCTGCAATTTTTTCCACAGTTGCTATTGTTGTGTGTGACTGTCTTACATCTAAAAAACAGTATATTATTTCAATCATTCACAAAATATAAAAATAGGGAACCTTCTGGTCCTTCTTCAGCAACACAGTGTATGGCTATTGGAATTACTTCTTTATCGACGTCATATAATAAATCATCGTCGGGATATTTCGAAGGGTTAAAAATGTGAGATGTCTGACAAAATTGCTGATTGGAACCTCTGTTATAATGGAAAGTTTTTGAAGTTAAGGTAGAGTCTCGAGGAATATATCTAAAAAACAAAAAAAAAAAAGATTTAAAGTAAACGAATCTACTAAATTATGGAAAATTGATGCAGAATACGAAGCATGCAATGTTAAGAGTTTTACTTACGTCACTCCATTAGGAGACAGTTCCTCGGTACAAAAATAATAAATAGTTATAGAGCATCTAACATCACAGTCAAACGTAAATTCTATGTTGAATGAAGTATTTGTTCCTAATTCTGCATCCCTAACATCTGCTTTTTCAAGACTAGATTTGTTGCCCTCAGCGACAACTCTTAAAAACCGCAAAGATTCTTTCCGAATATTCACCAAACTTTTCAATGTCTTTGTTGGTTCATTTGGTTGTGGAGGTGGATATGGAAACTGCGTAATGAAAAATTATAAACAAATAAGTACAGCTTTAACACTTACTGGAGTAGGTCGACTTCCTAAAAAATTCAAGTCAGAATTTTCTCCAAATAAATAAGATTCTGGCTGTGGAGTATCAAATCGTTCTCCTCCCATTATGAAATGACTTGCAAAGTAATTTCCTTAAATTATAAAATTAAAACACATGTAAAATTCCTATTATACTTACAATAAATAACAATTTATTTACCTGATCTCGGTGGATACCTGTAAGCATGATTAGAAGCAACATCAACCTCTTCAACTCCATCATTTTGCCTAGTTGTGAGTAGGCCACCCATTATTCTCAATATGTAGTTGCGTTTAAATATACACTATCTCCATTTATAAAGGAAATGCAGTTTGTCCTTTATGCTTCAAATGTACTTGATTTTTTCATATTTATTTATATATTTACATTACATCTACAATAAGGGTTTTTTGGCGAGCCAAACCACATCAAACCCGGTTAGCTCGAGTTTGATTGTGTTAAGAGTTTGAGTTAACATTTGACAGAACTCGCAAAAATTCTTTTAGTTTGGATATATAATCAATAATAAAATCGTAACCTATAATCTATGATAGTACTCGTAGCTCAAGTTGTTTGATTATTTCTTATATACTACAATTGTTATTCCTAATCTGAAATGCACATCCATGAAATAACGTTAATGTATGGTTATTAAATCAAAATGGGTTTACCTTTTCACAAATATCTATTCCCACGTAAATGTATCGTCTAAAAGGAAGTTAATAAAGATCTATACAGTGCAATATAGAATATGCATATCTACGATTAAAGTTATTTGGATCCTCGATTACTTATACCTATCCAAACCTCTAAAACTTATACCTATCCAAACCTCTAAAAAAACGAAGTAGTGACTAGGTACGATGGTACGAAACAGAAAATAAATAAACAAAGATAGAAATATTAACTTAATATCCAAACCAACCCACAAGTCCGGTTTGATGGTTAGGCAAACTCTGCCAAACCGGGTTAACTACAATTTCTCGCCAAAACGTCAAACCTCAACAAACTATAGTTAACCGGGTTAGCGGTTTTCTCGCCAAAAAACCCTTAATATGTATAACAAGAGTAAAATGTTTTGGAAATATGCACATACTTCTATAGATAGAAGTATGTGGAAATATGACAGGAAAACACATAACACAAATACCACACAAATACAGAGTTTAGAAATATATTAAAAAAGGCACAATTTAGCAAATCAATAAACGTAAAATCCCTAGATTGTCAAGTTATAGAACTTCTAGGGAGTTGAGTGTTGTTCTTTTCATTGGGTATGAAATATGAATGCACTGTGAAGCTTATCTTATCTCATGACTTGTAAACACGGATTTTGTAAATCACAATCATTATCGTCTATTGGCTGTCTTATTTAAAACGAGTTCTTAGTGTTGTAAGCAGCCAATAAACGCTCGCGCTTTCACTCCTACGAGCTTAAATTCGTGCCGTGCCATAAATGTATCATGTCTAACTGTCTAAAGAAATATATTTTTAGCTGAGTCACTCAGTTTCTCTTGGAACTTATAAATTTTGTGCAGTGGCAGCACTTCCAGAATTTCTTCTTTGACAGTCTTTTTTGTCTCTCGGTGGTCGTAATTTATAAATTAGGTAAGTTTCTTATAAAATTTTAGTAATCCTGAAGTTTTATTGACATTTTCTTCTATGATAAGAAACAGTTTAATATAAATTATATGTTGTAGAAAATATTTTGAAAATTGATAAGTATTTTGCTTCAATTTTAGACCACAATGGGAAGGAGACCAGCAAGATGGTGAGTTAAAGTGAATATATTGAGAAGTAAACTATTTTGTCGTATTGTCTCATTTCTTACCCTTTTTTTCAATAGTTATTCATTATATCAAAACATTTAAGTAACAATTAATTTTCATATACAACATTAAGAAAAAAATACATCCTGAATATTAGACAATCTAACGCAATATTTCATTTTTACTGCTTTTTGTAATCAAATTTATAATTTGTTTCTCGTAATGTGCAAATATATCTTTTTCAGTTACCGTTATTGTAAGAACAAACCTTATCCAAAGTCAAGGTTTTGTAGAGGTGTACCAGATCCAAAGATACGTATCTTCGATCTGGGCAAGAAGAGGGCAAGTGTGGAAGATTTTCCTTTGTGCGTCCACCTAGTATCAGATGAATATGAACAGTTAAGTTCCGAAGCTTTGGAAGCAGGGCGTATCTGTTGCAATAAATACTTGGTAAAGAATTGTGGTAAAGATCAATTCCACATCCGCATGAGACTTCATCCTTTCCACGTAATCCGCATCAATAAAATGTTGTCCTGTGCGGGAGCCGACAGGTAAGTTTACAATTTTTAAAATGCAGTTAGCCAAAGTTTCAAATAGTTTAGTATTTAGTTTTATTATAATTTTTTAAATTTACTTTAAAATACTTTAACCCATATGGTTAAATAAATCGATATTAATTTTTAGGCTCCAGACAGGAATGAGGGGTGCTTTCGGTAAACCACAAGGTACTGTAGCACGTGTACGTATCGGACAACCTATTATGAGTGTCCGCTCGAGTGACCGTTTCAAGGCAGCCGTCATTGAGGCCCTCCGTCGTGCCAAGTTCAAGTTTCCAGGGCGCCAAAAGATATACGTGTCCAAAAAGTGGGGATTCACAAAATACGAACGTGATCAATATGAGACCTTGAAGTCCCAAGGCAGGTTGGCCCATGACGGTTGTAATGTTCAATACAGACCCGAACATGGACCATTAAATGCATGGAAAAAAACCCAAGAAGATTTGTATGCGTAAAACATACATTTTTAAGTTTTGGAATAAATTTTGAAAAGTTGCAGTTTCTTTTAATTGGTACCCGTTTCTTCAAAAATCTTGAAAAATATGCATTATTATTTAGATTAAAATGTAGCAAATATTGTTATATGTTACATATTGAAAATTAATAATATACATGGTGACTTAGATCAAATGGAACCACCCTTATAAAAAAATGTACTTGATTTAATTATTTTTCTTTGAAGTTTAAAAATCTATCGTAAGATTTGAATTTTTATTTTCATTTATCAAAGCCTAGGAATTTCATGGTGAAATTTGAAGTCGAGCAATTTTTTTTTTATTTATTTGACTACGCTTGTAGTCAGATTATAGTGATTAATTTTGTTCCTTTTAAAGATGAATTGGGACAGTACCCAGAAAATACAAAAAACGACTTGACACTAAGGTTTACCAAAATTATGATTTTCTTTAGAACCAAGAAATTTTTTTTGGTCATTAGAAATTTGGACGATGTTTCTCCGCTTTAATAGAAAAGGATGAAATTGATTCATTTTTCCTCAAATGGACGATATAAGCATAATACATTTTTCTCATAGTAAAAGAAAAATTGCTACCACCAAATGTACTAAGACGTGGTGAATTTTAGTTCCGTTAATTTAAAACTTAATTCTTACAACAATAATCTTCAGCATTTTATCTTTAAATTACTATTTATGCATTTTTAAATACCAAAGTTGCAATAAAAACGACATTTTTGTTTGTAAAAAGCTTTTTCTACATCCTATTTATTTTTTAAAGTTGGTGTTCCAATTAATCCCAGTATGGGGGTTATTTGCATTTTTAATGAGAATATAATGGGTGCCCCAATTGACCCCTCAAAGGGGATAATTTTTATTAGCAGACCTAGTTTTCTTCACCTTCAGTAGAGTCTGCCAACTAGATCAATATCCCCAAATTCTGATTTATTCTCGTTACGGTGTCAGGAATTACTGCAAAAAAATCCTGAAAACCGTCCCGATTCCCCTATTTAACGGTATAGTACACAAAATTATCGTCAATTGATGAAATTATTGAAAAAAATTTGCAAGATTAGAACTGGCCCTAATTTTTAAGATTTTGCTCTATCATTCCCAATTTCATTCATGTCATAAAACAAGTAGAAGGTACAGTACCTAATGTACATAGTAAATAATCTCAATTATTAGAAATTCAAAAATTGTAGAAGCCTGCAATTTTTTTGTACATTTTTTATGGCTTTTAAACCATTGTGTTTATTTGTTACTTGTAATTAATATTAAACAATTCACCCATTAAAATTAAAAATTATTATTTAACTTAAACAAATATTAGTATAACATTTATTAAAAATTCTATAGAATAAGGCTAACATGATTAGTTTTCGAAATATTTGAAAAAAAAACCGAAATTTTGGAAACCCGTTTTTGTTTCATTTCAGCCTAGTTTGAGGTGATATTGAAAAAAGAACACTTTCTCATGGCCACTTTTTGCCGTCTATCGAAGGGCATAATCAATTTTTATATGTAACGTTTCGTCTCTCCAGGACCATCATCAACTTCATTTTTTTAAATACAACGCTAGAAATTTTATTACATTTTATGCAAGATTTCATGGCCCCCAATACTGTACTGCCTCAGCCCTAACCAGATTCAGACGTTTAATCTCGAAAAATTCATCTTCAGTGTATTCGTTCCAAATTTATATAAATTTTTTATTTAGATTTCTTTGTTTATTTAATTATCGTACACTGTAAGTGTCGTTAGACCCTGTGAAATCCATCTAGTTATTTAAACTGATACCACCATGTGTTACATAAAACATTTATTATTATTAACTATTACCATCACTTGGTCATACATAATTCAATAAGTTGTTGTTGAAATTAAAACATTGTTACAATTTTAATTTTATTATGACAAATTAATTCTGCCTAACCAAACTGCCAACTGAATATTATTCTTTAAATGTTCAAAAACATGTTCGTTTTGGCAAAGGTTGAAAATGAAGATCAGTGTAATATTATTGGAATTTATTATATCTGCAACCGAACTGTGAAAGAGCATGTCGGATGTATTTGTATGAATATCCTGAAAAAAATAGATCGGAATTTGTTTGAGTTTTGAGAGGCCTTATGGACTCGAGAATAAAACTAATAATTTTTTATTTTAATGCGTGGTGGTTATAGTTTAAATAACTAGATGGATTTTACAAGGTCTAATGGCCACTTGTAATGTACGGATAATTCAGTAAACAAAGAAATCTAAATAAAAAATTTAGATACATCTGGAACGAATACACTGAATGAATTTTTCGAGACAAAAGGTCTGAATCTGGTTCGGGCTGAGGCAGTACGGTATTGGGGGTCATTAAGGCATGCAAAAAATGTAATAAAATTTCTAGGGTTGTATTTAAAAAAATGAAGTTGATGATGGTCCTGGAGAGACGAAACGTTACATATAAAAATTGATGTGTTCTTCTTTTTTCAATATCACCTAAAACAAGGCTGAAATGAAACAAAAACGGATTTCCAATATTTAGTTTTTTTTCAAATATTTCGAAAACTAATCATGTTAGCCAAGGATTTTACCGTTTTTTGAGATCCCTGTAGTGAGAAGCGAATTTGTAACAGCCTGTATTTCCACAAAACTTACGGGATAACGCCAATCTAGAGGCTGGAAAACAAGGAGATTTTAGGGAATTTTCAAGGAAAATCCATACAAGATATAGTATCGGATATAAAAAGGTTTTATTGTACATGTTTTTCAAGTGGCATTTAAATTTTTTCAAATGATTTGGATTCAAAATGGCAGCTGCAGGTGATGGCAAGCAACAACACCCTTTTTTTCATTGGGCTGTATGGCCGGAACGGTTTCTTATTTTAACGACGGTTTTGGAAAAATTTTCTGATACATATATACGAAAATTCAGGGAACACCGAAAGGGAATAAAAAATTATTAGTAACTGATGATTTAGTGAACATCAAAAAGTTGAAAAACCTCTACAATTTTCCCTGAGCTATGTTATTGTGAATCTCTGTACAAAATTTCAAGTGAGTTGTTGAAAACTTTTTGAGTTATGTTTCCAGCCAGTTAAAAAAAAGCGGTTTCTCCAAAACAAGTTTTTGATGCCATTCAGCATAAGAAATTCATTATATGTATACCCTCAATCGCCTGCACCATATAATTGGCCTTCTATATTGATATTTTCTTTATCCTTTCCTTTTCAGCTCGATCCGAGTCTTCAATTTGGCCTCTATAACAGCGTTGCCCTGTAAGTGGTTGTGCCCATCTCGAAAAGACTCGTACAAAATTTATTCAACTTTGGGTATGCCACAAGGGTCAAATGTTGGACCCATATGTAGTTATTAACTGCAATTGACTTTTATATACAGGTGATTTTAAAATTTATAATTAACAAACATAAAAGACATACTTCCATATACCTAAAGTATCTGCTACGAATTACTTTATCAGAAATGTATCCCTTTTTCATACATCGAACTAAACAGATGATGTAAGTAATAAACAAACTGTAGATAAGCAAATAAAATTTTTATTCTTTTAAACACATTGATTTTTTTACCACAAAACTTTTTACCCCAAAACATTTTTACTCCATTTACTCAATCCCTAAATGTTCTTTAATCCAAAGTAAGGAGTTTATGATATTATCCATCTCGTTCGGAACAGTTCCCAAAGGATGGTTATCATCATACAAGTTCATCCTAAAAACAAACATTACACTCAAACTTTTCCCATTTCGATACAAATTAGTAATATACAGGATGAGTCATTAATAATAGTACAAAGCTTAATGGCAGATTGTTAACGCCAAAATATATAGCAAGTAAACCGAACATGCCTTAGTCAATTGTTGCTCCTTTTCATTAGATAGGGCAGGGGTCGGCAAGTAATTTTAGGTGGGATCCGGATATTTTTGAAAATTTTTAATGAAGTCCACAAAAAAAACTCCCATTCCTTACAATTTTTAATTTTAATTTGCACTCACAAATTTAATTTACCTACTAACCATTAAGAACTCAAATCAATCACGCAGTTGTAGTAGAAATGATAAGGGTGGCACTCAAACGTATTATTATCAATAGAACACTATTTTTTAAATAATTTAATTGAGTAATTTATGCTTTCAAAAAATTTTTGGGAGTCCATTATATTACCTTCCGCGGTCCGGATCTGGACCGCGGGCCGCCAGTTGCCGACCCTTGCTATAGGGTGGTAAAGTTGAAAAAATATTTTCTATTTTTTGCTATATTTTATGTATGTAGAGACTGATTGTTTTGAATATTTGTAGTTTTAAGTTTTTTTAGATGGCAAATACTAATATGCAGACAGTGTTGGGGTCATGTCTAGGAGGCGCTAGTTATACTGTCCTATCAATGTAAAAATATGTTTAACTTTTTGTATTTTACAATTTTGAATTTCTTAACTAGAAACTATTGAAATATGTTCAATTCCAAATAAAAAAGGTATACTTGTTAGAAATCGATAAACTCAACCGTTTTTGAGATACAGACGTTTTAATTTTTTGAGATTCGGCGGGAATTAAATTAGAAAATTAGCAGGTCTTAAGATACCAAGCCTGAATTAAGAATTAAAACAAACACTACAGCAACTGAAAATTGTATTATGCAAATCTTAACAAATCATTAATCATAAAAGATTCTCAAAGCAACCACCAGCGACTTATTTAAATTTTGTCTGATGTTAAGTACGGTTCTATGTTGTTTGATAATATGATCTGATTCTTAAATATTTGTCCACAGTTGTTCTCGACTAGTAATAATGTCTTTGTAAACTAGAGATTTAAATAGCTCCAAAAGTAAAAATCCAGCGGATTTAAATCAAGGCTACGTGCAAGCCAAGGTACTTCGCAACCGCGTCCAATTCAACGATATGGAAAATTTCTATTAAGATATTCTCTTACTTCTCGGGTACAATGTGCCATCAATTTATTATGCCAATGCCTACTACTTCGGAAAAAATAATTTTTAATTTAATTTCTGCCAAATCCCAAACACTTAAAATGTCTGTATCTTGAAAATGGTTGAGTTTATCCTTTGTAACAAGTATACTTGTTTTATTTAGAATTGCACGTAGTTCAACAATTTCTAGTTAAAAAATTCAAAATTGTAAAATACAAAAAGTTAGGCATATTTTTACATTGATAGGACAGTATAACTAGCGTCTCCTAGACATACGGTGATCATATCTTTTTTCAGAAAAAAAAAGTACAAAATTTAGAGAAATAAACATAAATGCAAAAATATTTTATAAACCCCAAAATATATCTTTTTATTGGACAAAACTATCTTATTTCCAATGAAAATAAATACATAAAATAACTAAACATAATTTATATATACTACACTAACAAATCATAATTTTTTTTGTACCAAAAAAAATAAAAAAAAAATTCTACACATACATAAATATGTGCATAAACGATAAGTGGTTTATGAGAAATATAATGAATCCCTATCTCCCACGTGTTTTAAACATTCAAAATTAATTTCTTAAAAACGAAATGGTCAATCGATTTAAAATTTAAATGCCTATCATTTGCAATTAGATAGAATAAAAGTATTGGGTACGGTCGAATGTTATATCATATTATCTGAATGCACTATTTCATCACATTATCTGAACTCACAGTGGGTCAGTATTCAAGTAAAAGTGACAAAAGAAATTAACTGAGAACAATACATCAAGATATTTGTTTAAAAAACAGTAAAAAAATAAAAAGCTTTCTCTTTTTTTTTTAAAGAAGTACATTCGCATGTCCTTTAAGGAGGTATATCGGGATTACTAAAATGTACAGATGTACTTGAAATTTATTTAGCGTATTACCCAGTGCTCCCTCTGTGCATCATATTTTTTTGAAATTTTGTTTAAATCTAGATTTTAAGATGTTGTTAAAAGTTGTTCATTTTAACATAGGTTTATATGGCGAAGATGGACAGTGCGGCCCTTTTTTTTGCTCATAACTGAGAAAAAAATGTAGAAATTGTGAAACAAAACTTTTCCATAGATAGTACACAGTATTATCTTATTTTTGATGTAAAACTTGAAGTTTTGAACATAGTGCAACTGTATTAATTAGAAACAGAAACCAATAATTGCATTTCCGTCTGACTTGAGGATTAATGTGGCAATGTCGCAATCAGCTGACAACAAGGAGGGAATACATTTGAAAGACTTGATAAAAACGAAATTGATTTCAAACATATACATTTTTCCAAAATCCCATGTACATTGTTATTAACAATAAATTATCCACAACAGATTATTTTTTGTAATATTCTTAAAAAACTAAATTAATTTAAAAAGGCTAAGAAGCTGTGATATATTTATTGGAATAAAAAATACAGTTTGTAAATCCTTTTAATATATTTAATGGTTTATAAAAACATCGTAATCGTTACCCAGCAATATTTAGGGTTACATAAAGTTTTCTTTACTTGATTAATATAATTAGTAATACTTGAGATAAAAGCATTTGTATGGAATAACAAAGGAACATAAATATTTATCAGCAAACTTTATTATATCTAAAAAATTAGTTATAGTTGCAAAACTTTTGTAACTTACTAAAATAGAGATTAAAAACACGAAACACGAACAGTGAGTAATAATGTAATTTCTGTCACAGAACCTTCAAAATTGCATCCAACATTTGCTTTGACTTGGACGAGAGATGGGTCATTTCATTTCTTTAGAACTAAATTAACGTAATTATTTTCTCGTTGTTTTACCAGTTCACATGGTTTACGGATTTTAAATAAAAGATTTAAATCTTCGCGAGGATAATACGATATATTTGCTATATATATAATAATTATATTGTACATTGTTTGCACACAATACATTTTTCAGCGTACATATCTTTTCCCGAATTTGACGCGCAATATCTCCGCTGTCCGATGTCTGTAGGTTCGCAGTGTGCTATATAGATAATGTTTATCGCAAATAATTTCAATAGAATTTAATTTTTTCAAATTGGCAGCAGGCTTTAGTCCCATAAGAAAAGCATAGGACCCCCCCTTCGATCCTCACTTCCCTTGGACCCCGATATACCTCCTTTAGAAAGTTTAAAAGTACATTAGGACATTATTTAAAAGTGAGTACTGTCCTAATTAAATAAGTACATATGGTCACTGTACCTAGACATGACTCCAACAACTACAAATTTTCAAAATAATCGGTCCATACATACTAAAATATAGGAAAAATCGAAAATATTTTTTCAATTTTAACACCCTATAGAACGAAAAGGAGCAACAATTGATTAAGGCATGTTTGGCTCAATCGCTATATTTTGATGTTAACAATCTGCCATTAAGCTGTGTAATGACTCACCCTGTATAAAGAGGATACAATAAATTTAAAATTATTCGAGTGACTTTAGAAAAATGGACCCTTTCCTGAAATGATGGCCCATGAAATATGAAAAATGAGTTTGACTTACCTGGTAGTCACTCCATTAGCTTTAAGCCGTAAATGATACTCGGTTCCCTGATGCGAAGGCACCCGTAGATCTTTCGAACCAATCTGCAGTAATGTCGGTGCCTTAACTTTATGTGCATGCACGATGGGAGAGGCCTTTCTCATCGCAATTAGAATATCATTATCGATTTTGCCCTGTTGGGTGTATTCTTCGCCGGCTTCTACGTAGCACCTACGATTAAGAGTGATTAGAATCGTGTAATATTTGAAAAATAGAAAGAAAGTCACCAGTCGGGTATGTCGGATATGATACTCATGGAAGCCACGTCTATGACCGGATTACGTGCCACGACGGCTTTGAATCTTTCCGGGTATTGTCCACTGAGATGTGTAACGAGGAAACCTCCGTGCGAGCCCCCGACTAGGGCTAAACTGTTGGGGTTAAGCCAAGGGAAAGTTTCAAGTGCCTTGTCTACTGCGACAATACAGTCGGCTACATCGGACGTTCCAATTTTTCCCAACAGAAATTCAACGCTGCTTTGTCCGGAACCGATCGAGCCTCTGTAGTTAATGAACAGAATCCCGAAACCTGTAAAAAATTTTCCATTAAAATTTTCTTAAAAGGTAACCATTTTCTACTTTTTTGCATGTAGGAACATTTTTCTTGATTGGTGTCAAGAGTGTTTCTGTTCTTTTTTTTTTAATTTGAATTTAGTAGATGGAGGATGTTGAAGTTAGAAAAAAATTTCACATTTTCTGAAATATACCTGAGGATGTTTGATGCAAACTGATGAAAATTATGCCGCTGATTTACCTAATAATAGTAGTCATTGAAGCTGAAAATCAGCTGTAACCTCCGAATTCTTTGAAACTGCATGGATTTGCATGAAAATTTAGAATAGTTTTTTAGGGGTAAAAACTACCCCTAAGTGAAAAAAATTGAAAAAATTAAGTTTAAAGCATTTTATTGATAAAAATCTTGTTCAAGCACAAATATTAAATAATGTTCCATATTATAATATATTTGATCTTTTCGACCCTTTATTTAACCCTTAAAAACTACCCCTATGCAAAAAATAATTATAAAAAACTACTTTTTAGATTTGGAATGATTAAATCGTGCATTTATTTAAAATAAAAATTACCTTATAGCTAATAAAAGAATTTTTCCCTTTCAACCCCTAAAAACCACCCCTGTATTGACAAAAATGATAAAAAATTACTTTTTAAAAGCTTGGAATGCTTTAATGGTGCAATTACTTAAAATAAAAATTCCCTCATTGCTTATGAAAGAATTTGTATCTCATAACACTTTTCAACCCTTATAAATCACCCGTGATAAAAAAATGATAAAAAATTACGTTTTAAATCTTGGAATGCTATAATTGTGCAGTAATTTAAAATAAAAATTCCCTTATATTGTTGTGCACTTGAATCCTAACATTTTGCTTCAAAAATGAGAAAGCCTATTTTTCTTTGAAAAAATTAGTTTTTTAAACATAACTTGGTTAATTTTGAAGCTATAGTATCCTACAAAAAAGCATTTTAAAGATAATTTCAAGAGCTGTAAGATCGTTTGCATATGAAACAGTTTTAGTCCTTCGTTTTTTAAAGGGAAAGGATCGAAAGGCTCGAGGTTTTTTCACTAAAATGGATACTTCAAGCGGCGCTATCTCCTTTATTTTTTATGCTACAGGAATAAAGAAAAAGCAAAATATTTGTTGAAAAAAAAGCTACATTTTTGTTGTCTATATTTTTTTATATATCTTTCATAGTTTCAGAGTTATCATATAAATAAGGCAATTTTTTTTGAATAATGAAAAATACGTTTTCAACTTTTACCGTCTAACTTCAGGATCGTATGAAAAACACTAAAACAAAACTAATTGTAAAGGGTCTACGATTAATTTTAATTCTGATGGAAATGGTACAGCGTTTACTGCTCATTTTTCCTTAAAAAATATTAGCAACCCATCTGTTTTTGACGATAAATCATTCAATTTTGATCTAATTAACTTTTATAAGTGCTCATTTTGAAGGTCTTTTTGAGGACTACAAAAAACTCCTGGAGTGTTATACATGTTTTTCCGTTATTTGATGTTGAATATATCGATTCGAGTATTCACCCCAAAACAAGTCCCCTTCCACTAATCATATTTCGGTTTGTATAGAATGTACAACACTTTTTAATTAATTTTCTTTGTTTATTTATACGCTACATATTTGTTCATTACACTTTTTTTAATAAAATGCATAGTTTTTGAGTTATTCGCGAAAAATACTTTGAATAAGTGTTTTTTTCACTTAAAGTTTTCAATCGTGAATTACTAAAAAACTATTGGTTCCTCGAAAAAATTCTTCGACTATTGTTTGCTCAAGATTTGATTCTCTATTTCCAGCGTTATTTTTGAAAAAAAAATTCCACCCCCGAAAAGGGGCGTCAACCCCCAACAGGGTGGAAGCACCAATCGATGCTATGTCACTAATGTTCATTGACCTTTTCTCTAACTATCTGCCAAATTTCAAGTCGATCGGTTCAGTTTCAAAGAATTCAGAGGTGAAATGCTTCAATGACTGTACTATAAGAAGTAAAAACGCGAGGAGTTATGTATATCATTAGGAGCCTCAGAATTTCTAAGTCAATTGTATTCTGTAAATTGGATTAGTGCTTTTTTACCAATGAAATTTCTTAGAAAAAAGTTCTCTTTTACTATGTTTGAGCAACGAGCCGTTTTAGAGTTCTGATTGCTTGTATACAGGGTGTTTGGCATAAGAACCGACACAACGCAGGGGAATCCAAAATATGATAATTTAACGCAACTTACCTTTATACTAGCCTTGAAAGTGGGATATCAAATATGGAACAAAATCAATATCTCAGTTATACTTGAACTTAGAAAAACTAAATTTGGTACATGGTGTGAGTGTACGAAGAGCATTAATGGATAGTAAGAAGAGTTCAATTGAAGCATTTTAAAGTGTTGGTAAGGGATGATGCACCATTAAATTGTGGCAGAATTTTTAACCCGTTGCTGAACTTAAAAAATTATTATTATTACTTTTATGTGGAATTTAATTCTAAAACTTAATTTACTCTTGCCGTTTTCAACAAAAACACGAATAACTAATAATGTATTGTAGCTGTTATTTAAAATCGTCGATAATTCAAAAGTTGGATATGAATTTAAAAGTCAAACTTGACGATCAGGAAAAAAGTCATTTAATTTTAATGTTTGCTGAGTGTTTTGAAAATGGTCGGGAAGTTTTCATTTTGCCAACAAGATGACATGCTATAACTTATCAGTGCAAATTGTACGTTATTTCTGTTGTTTAAATTGTTTGTTTTTCTGTAAAATTATTATTTCAACTTTTTTTCCTGATCGTCAAGTTTGACGTTTAAATTCATAGCAAACTTTTGAATTTTCGATGAATTTAAATAACAGCTACAATATGTGTTATTAGTTATTCACATTTTTGTTGAAAACGACTAAGTTTTTTGAAAACTAACAAGAGTAAAAAAAGTTTTAGAATTAAATTCCCCCATAAAATAAAACAATAAGTTTAATAAAACACAAGGTGTCGTAAGTTCCAAACTCTTAGCTCCTAACAAAAACATTAAAATGCCTAGGGCAATAGTTTAACTTTTGACCCTTATATTGTATCTAAAATTGCATTTCATATCAATTCCCATAAACCGTTTTTGTGGACGGAATAGCTTTAGTTATTTTTTATTTTCTTAATTATGTCACTTTAACCCTTTCACTGCTCCAGACGTATATATTTGCTAAAAATTTATAGGGCTCAAACTGCTCCAGACGGATTAATTCGCATGAATAGTTAAATTGGATCAGGCATCAGGCTACTTAAACCGTATATATTCGCAACCATGCGCATTAGTGACTCGGTTATTGCAATTGGTAAGGCGATTTTTTGCGGGCGAGCTTATACCGATTGTGACAAATATTTTTATGGAAAGAGGTACTGGTAATAATACCAAGATTGTTCATGTTTCTTTCAGTTTCTATTTAGTACATATACTGTATTTTATTCAAAATAAAATTGTAAAATTTATCGTAAATTGTAATTTAACACAACATAATGTAAAACTATAAATGGTCTAACTGCTCCAGACGTATATATTCGCACGCGATAAACTTTCGCGCACGACGCGGTATCTACGTTCAGACGTATTGCGCAGCGAAAGGGTTAATACAAAAAAAACAGAATTGTCAGAGACATTTTTTTGGTACCTCCACCATTGGTAAGTCAACTTATCGGGTTTTTACTTCTACTTAGATAAGTGGTCCAAGTTTCATCACTCTACATCAAACATCTTCAGAGATATTTCAGAAAATGTGTAACTTTTTCTAATTTCAACATCCTATATCTCAAAAATGAAGCAAATGAAATTTTAAGCTTATAATAATTTGTTCTATTTCCCCATTGAAAAAACGCCCTTATTTCTGAAAGCACAGGGTGTTTCTATCGAAGAACCATAGACATATTATATATAAATTAACTGAATCCCTTCCTTACCAAACGAAGCAAACAGTGATGCTTCCATTATGCAATAATTCGCAAAGGCACTGTGGGGTCCTCCATGAGGCCAAACTATTAACGGTACAGACTTTTCATTTCCATTTTTAGGTCCAACATATATCGCATTGAACGAACCTAGATAGTAAAAATATCAGTTTGGGATGAACGTTAATATAAATTTTTAAATGTCCATCTGGCAATACTTACTAACAGAGTCGCTTACAGAATCCGCTGACAAGTCCAGGTACTTGTAAAAGCAATTTTCTAGACCTGGTATGACCTGAGTGGTGGTAAGATCGGTCCAAGATATTGACGATTCATTACCTGCGCCGGGCAATTTACCAATAACCAATTTATCTGGCTTGAGATAATTCCTCTGCACTGCTAGCACTGTATCGCCATATACATCAGTGACAGTTTGACTTCCATCGTCAAATTTCAAATTCGTCACGTGCCCGCTCCCTAAAATTGTTTTGAACATACAATAATTTCAAAAAGATTTTCAATTGAAAATCACAAAGCAAGAATCATTATTTTGTCACATTATACCGAGCATAACTTTAAGTGGGGGTCAGTTTTTTAGGGGTAGCAGGATGTGTTCACCAGACTATTAATCTGAAATATAAATATACAATTTTTTAATCAAATCGAGAATTCTTTTTAAACTGCACTTAAACTCTTGTCTATGCTGTCACTGAGCAGCACCCGAACTCAGTTCGATGTATGCACTTATCAATGTTGTCTGTTATCCTTTTAAATCAACTGTTCGAAACTTAGTGGTAGAGAGTGAAACTGTAGTGGAACATAATTTTGTAAAAACAGATTGCTTTTATGTAACTTTGCAACATGTTATTTTAAAGTCGTCATGTTTCTTTATGTGAATTTATGTACCGATCTCACCCTGTATATCTTGAACGTATTTAAGTTTAATTCATATACTAATTATTCTTTAGCTATAGAAGTAACATTTTGGAAATGGTAGAACAAATCTTCATCCACGTGTTGAAATAAATGGGTACTAATATAACTGAACGAGACAATGTATGAAAAGCATATTTCGTGCAAGCTATGCAAAAAAAAGTATCGTTCTTATGTCAGTATGAAAACAGAAAATTCTCTTTCTCATTTTTTTCTCTGCAAGAGTTCAATATCATCATTAGTCAAATGTTTAAGTCTACAAACAATCTACGCCAAATTTCTTCTCTATTACAGACTATTATTTAATTTTCTGTATCATTTCGAACAATTTAAAATAATTAGTTTTGTTGTTTTATAAAAAGTTAAAAAATTAATAAAAATTCCAATTTGATCAGATCTGAAATACAAGTTTTTAATAAAAATTATTTGTTACTATTTTTTGAAGCACCGTGTTTAGTTTGTGAATATCAGTGGCACTGATCTTGGATCTAAAATGCTAAAAAAAGGAGTAAAAGGTTGCCAAACACAGACAAACAAATCATCTGCCGTGATTTTTATGATCGGAACTTTATTCCAGAGACCAAAAATAACTCGTATCCATGGTAATTTTCAATTTTGACCGAGACCCCTTTTTAATGTAATTAGCGTGTGGTCCTTTCATATTCTTATAAACTAATGATACCAAAAATTGGAAGACAAAAATATTTAGTTGATTATACTCACCGATATCGATTACATACGAATTTATAGTGTATTTTTGATTTGTATTTAATAATAGTCTGTTTGCGCTTGCCCAGGGCCTTTTTGGAAATCCAGTGTTATATAACCCATAAAAAGACTCCTCATTTTGTATTTTAATTACATTTTCTACTATATCGACAACAACTCGTGGTGCAGTCTAAAGCAATGATAAATTCATATTAGCAATAAAAATTTCATGAACTTTGGACAAACTGTTTAAACTTACATTTTCCGTTAAAGGAAGATTAGCCTTAACCAAGGCCATCGCTGACGCATGAGGTCCTCCTGTTTTCCTTTGGAGCCATACAAGTGACTGGCCATCAGGAGTAAAAATAGGTGACTTGACAGCCAAATCCTCCAATTGTAATTTTACTAAAATATTAATTTAATGTAATGTACAAGTAGTAGGGTTGCCAACATCAAGTTGGTGCCGGTCCAAATAAATATTATTTCAAAAAAACCACGAGAATGTATGTACTATATGAGAATAGAGAAATGCAATATATTTCTACAAAAATTTTCCAATTTTCTCAAAAATTCTCTTAGATATTTTTCTATATTTTCAAAAAAATGTTCCTTTTCAATTCCTAAAAAGACAATGTTTTTTTTGTGCACTACCATTCTCAAGCACACATTGAGAAAATCCTTACCTTTACAGTACTACTAATATAAATCATTTTATTTTAACAAAAAAAAGACAAAAATTCTTCATGTAAGACAAGTACAATTTTTAAAAATGTGTAAAAAGATGTGGAAGTATCATTTCCACAATTTCATAATGAATAATCACAAAAAATGTTATACTTACAAAAGTTTCCCTCAAAGTCAAGTTTAAACACAGTACTATCTCGATTTGAACAATAAATAAGGCCCAATTTTCTATACTCTGTATTATAGGCCACACCGATGATATATTTACCATCTGGAGAATACTTTGGTTGAGCAACACATATATTATCAGGTATCCCTTTTAGGATCTCCACGGAATCGTTTTCAATATCATATTCCACAAGTACCGACTTCTTTTTCCCTACAAGTTGCTCCCCCCAATCTTGTACAAATAAGTATTCTTCGCCCTTCAAGCATTGTTATTTAATACAAGTAACTGAATCAAAACAATGTGTCAAGCTAGATAATTAATTGTGCATAATTTTGGATTTTATTCTCAAGTGCCTAACTATGTATTTACAAGGCATCATTCTTTGCAATTAAGCGGTATTAAAACCAGTTTCACATTTGTTAAGAACACGAAAACAGCTTGGCAATTGCAACGTTCTGGTGAAAATGGAGATATTAAAATATGAAACAGAATAAAAACTTACTTTAGTTTTTTCTTCATCTCCACTCCCACCGTCATTGGACAATGGTGCTTTGCGTTTATAAAATGGATCAGATTTGGGAGGTTTCTTCTCAGCTACATATAATACTTTTTTTTCATCAGGTGACCATTCCAGTGATGAAAATTCCACTGTAATTACCAATACAATTTTCAACCATCTAATTAATTTAAATTACTGTTATATAACTAATTTAAATTGGAAATGTTAGAAGCAATATTTTACCATAAAATTAACAACAGTTTTTACTTACCATCTGCATAAACAGGCCCGTGAATATCTAAGGCATTGAGATCTACAGTTCGAATAATATTATAATCTTGCCATATCTCTAAATAATATTTATTATCGTTTTCCCTGAGAACTGCCCTGAATTTTTCTGATAACGATGTTTTTGACAAAGCCCTGGAATAATAAACGATTATTCAAGGCGCCATTATGCATTCCAAAGTATTTGAATTAATAATTATCTCATAACTCATAAGTTAGTATTGTTAGTTACACATAACTATTTTTTTCTGCACCTCCGTCTTGAAAACTTGTAAAAAAATATTGTAAAAAATATTATAGCATTATGTGAATTATTTTAAAGTATTTACTCGGTGCTAATATCAAGTGGAAGACTTTCAGCAACTTTTTTAAAATCCGAAACAAATACGTCTTTAACAAATTTGACAGTTTTTCCTTTCTCTATATTTCTTTGAGACCAGGCACTTCTTACTATACCATTAGCTCTAAGATCAGCACCTATCACAGTAGGAATTTGAGCAAGGACTTGATAGGTTTTTACTATCTTATCCACCTGCAATGAAAATACAAGGTAACAATTTTTAAAATATAAACTACATATTTACATACTTTTGTACTCATTCTAAAAGTATTTCAAACTATCCACAGGTCCACAGCGAAACCAAAAAGAATTCTATTTGATTGAATATAACTAAAAAAAATAATAAGGAAAATAATGATCTACACCACGCACAAATTTCTTTTATTACATACTATACTACGTATGTAATAAATAGTAATATAACTCTAACACGAATTTCTTAAATGTTTAATTTAAGAAATTCGTGATCTCTAAATATAAAATTATGAAAAAAACTGAGAACGATCCGTTCGTTTAGGAAGAACCGGATCATAATCTATTCTGAATCTGAATGAAATGAACCGAATCATTGAATCCCAATTCGCAGAAAGTAAGATTCAGAGAGACTAGACAAGGAGAACCTTAAAGCAGTAGGCAGTAGTATATGTTCTAAGAGGAAAACGAACTCCATGTAAACAAATATATTACCATTGGGTGTAAACTGTATAAACAATGATATTATCAAATTAGAGTCAGTTTCAACTTTGTTCCGCCCTTCGAGCATATACTGCTGGAGGTAGCATGCCATTGTGAAACGTATGGCTGAGTGTGCGAGAGACAGACAGTATCTCAGTACATGCTGTCTCACTCTAGCATTCATAATCGTGTGCGTGTTAGAGTGAGACAGCATGACTACTGATATACTGGCTGTCTCTCTCGTACACTCAGCCACACTTTTCGCAATGGCATGCTACCTCCAGTATAGTTTATGATCGAAGGTCCTTTAGGCACATGCCTTTAGGCCCAGGCAACAAAATTGTTGAGGGTTGGACGATTTAAAATAATAAATTTAATGACAATAATGACATTAATATTTAGTATTTAGGTACTACAATACCTACCACTTAACCTGACTTATCCTAAACAAACCTGCATAAATCTTTTTTTTTATAATTATATAAATACTCTATTTAGGAGGAAAAGTGAATGTGATCAACTATGGCATATAAACGGTACCTTTAAAAGATAACTTGTTGCTTAAATTGTTACAAATAATAAGATAATCAAAGAATCAAGTAATAAATGTTAGAAATAATAGATATCTTGATCATAGATCTTATATTATAAACTACTAAAGTCTATAAGGGTTTTTTGGCGAGAAAACCGCTAACCCGGTTAACTATAGTTTGTTGAGGTTTGACGTTTTGGTGAGAAATGTAGTTAACCCGGTTTGGCAGAGTTTGCCTAACCATCAAACCGGACTTGTGGGTTGGTTTGGATATTAAGTTAATATTTCTATCTTTGTTTATTTATTTTCTGTTTCGTACCATCGTACCTAGTCACTACTCACTACTTCGTTTTTTTAGAGGTTTGGATAGGTATAAGTTTTAGAGGTTTGGATAGGTATAAGTTGTAAATAAAAAAAATTGATAATGAATTAACTTTGCAAAAAATACAAAGTAAATATTTAAAATTGATAATAAAAAAATAGTAATCGAGGATCCAAATAACTTTAAATGTAGATATGCATATTCTATATTGTACTGTATAGATCTTTATTAACTTCCTTTTTGACGATACATTTACGTGGGAATAGATATTTGTGAAAAGGTAAACCCATTTTGATATAATAACCATCTATACATTAACGTTATTTCATGGATGTGCATTTCAGATTAGGAATAACAATTATAGTATATAAGAAATAATCGAACAACTTGAGCTACGAGCACTATCATAGATTATAGGTTACGATTTTATTATTGATTAGATATCCAAACCAAAAGAATTTTTGCGAGTTCTGTCAAATGTTAACTCAAACTCTTAACACAATCAAACTCGAGCTAACCGGGTTTGATGTGGTTTGGCTCGCCAAAAAACCCTTTATGATCGTGATACTACCTGTCATTCCAGGGACTTTACAATTATGTAGTGATTTTTGTCTCTGGTGATTTTTTTTTATATGATTAGGAATTTATAATTTGAATGTTGGTAGTTCTGTTCGCGAACTGTAAAAGAAATGTCATTGCGGTGTTACACATGTCAATATTTTTGCATATAAACTTCTTAAAAAAAAAATTGTAAATTAATTTCCATATATGTTCTATTTTAAAAAATGATTAAGTGTTATTTAGAAATGGATGTGTCTATGTGATTTCGCAGTAGCTCCCGTTGAATTTTGTTACATCCCTTAGGTATTCATTTAAAAGGTCGCCTTGGGATTGATTTATTGAATCCAAATTTTATTTCACTAACTAGCTGTTCACATGATGTCTAACAGATAGGGCTTCATTAGATGAACAGTGCTGGAATTAGGTGAGTATTAGGTGGTTTTTGGGTTGGCTCTTTGCCAAATGTATTACACCCACTAACACCTGCTCTTGACACGAATTAATTTAAACAATTGGCCGTTCTTTAAATTTGTTTATTTATATCTACACACATAGGCGAATGACTTCAATCAATATATTTAAACAATTTTCGTAGTTTTCTTAAAGCTAAATTTATTGATAATTAAAAATTACTTCAAATGTCTTGTTTACTAATTAAAATAGAAAAGGACTATTTTAAGAAACACAGTTAAGGATTATGTCACATAAAATTGCATGCACAATACATTTTCATTAATACTAATAAACAGTGAGCAACAGATACATAAATTTGTGGAACAGTTTACTTATTTTTATGTAAAACCGAGTTAATGCATGTTTTGTGGAAAAATTGGATTTTTGTATGTTTGTTTTTTATCTGATTTAACCCTTTATACTCCATACTTGACACATTTGCCAATATAGGTACCTACTGTCAAAAGCTTTTCCCATGAATAAGATTGATTGTAAAGTGGGGGATAGATTTACAGGTATCTTAAGAGATCTAATCAACATGATGAGATAATAGGAAACTAAGAATCTAATTAGAATATGTTTAGTTTAAATTTGTGTAATGACCTGCATTCAATCTTATTTTAAATACTTCGAAGCCTCTTTAAAAAAACTTTTATAAGCAACTGTAGGTCCATCGTATTTTCTCATATCATTAAGTACGTATTATAAAATTTATTGAATTAATACTCTACAAAAAGTACAATAACTTTTCAGTTTCGTCAGTAAATAGGTATATTTGTTATTTTTAGTTATATATGCGTCATATGAATTTGTAGAGGAAGTGAGGCGAAACAGAAATTATGATAAATTTTGATGGGGATTATTATTTTTATTATGCTTGCTGTAAATACTTTAAAATGTGTATATTTCAGAACAAATTTTAATATATAAGAATTGTTTCTTGATAAGGAAGGGTGTCTACCTACACTATTACAATGTCAGTAGGTATGTACAGTATGTTCACAGATAGAGTTCGGAGGAGAGAAAATTTTTTTATGTGTAGGTTTAGAACAGAAAGTAATTTTTATAAAAACGTCTACTTGTCTTAAAACTACAATTTTGAATACCATATTTGAGATTGCTATACAGGTTACAAAAAAAATTACATTTTTAATGTTCGTTTCGATTTCGATTTTTTAAAAATATCTAAACTGATTTATTACACGAATTGTGCAAAAAAAGTCTAATAAACATTTTACCCAAAGTAGGTAATTTCGTAGCTAATTACATACTTATAAATTCTTACTTCTTTATTTTTATTTGTCACAAAAAATCAAACATAAATGTTTCTGTAAAGTTACACTTTATCTTGTGAATTTTTTTTGTGGCTATAAAGTTATAGCACTGTAAGAAAATTGCAAAATACAACCCCTGGTCATATCTCATGGAATTGTTTCACAACTGCCATATAGATTATTTGTCCTAAGTTATAACATAGGACTATAGAAATTCTTTGTTCTAACGTAAGCATTTTCAAATTTCACTACCATGCACAAGTCAAAATTATAACATGACTATCAACAATTTGACAGATCATTTTATTTATTTAGGACAAGCTACTTGATATTGTATTATTCTAATATTACTAATGATTAAAGCCAGCTATTTGAAAATAAAAATAAAGATATTAGAATTTATAATTAGCTACAAAATTACCTACTTTGAGAAAAATGTTTATTAGACTTTTTTGTACAATTTGTGTAATCAATCACAATTTAGATATTTTTAAAAATCGAAATTATTATTTAAAATTGTAGTTTCAAGACAAGCAGACGTTTTTATAAAGAATTACTTTTTGTTCTAAACTTACATAAAAAGGTTTCACTCTCCCGAACTTTATCCGTGGACACATTGTATAGTTGTTTTATTTAATTAATTTAACCCTACAAATATAAATATAACAATATAATTCTGCACAACAAAAACAAAACTAAAATGAGGTTTAAAATTTTTTCTAACAGATCTTAAAACAAACAACAACAATACTAACAAAATGTAATAGGGACCAATGTTACTACTTTGCACTTGTAACTGTTCCCTAAATAAACTACCGAGAATTAAATCAAAATTACGCATTATCTGTCAGTAACATTACCATATTATGATCATCATATTTTGAATTTAATGAAATACCTACTCATGTAATGTAAGATATTACAACTGTTTCAAAAAGGAAAAAAATATTTTTGCATTGGAGAAACTACTTTTTAACATAAAATATTTAATTTGCCAACAAACTGCAAATAAAGTTGTTTGCTTATTGGTTATCTTAGCACTTATATAATTTACTGTCATTAATTGAAATGAATGTAGAAAAAAATTGAGATGTGTTAACTTCTGAGCAATAAAAGTCTTTTTTTGGTTTATTTGATACATATTTGGGTAACATGAATTGTGTTTTTAAAGAAATAATTCAACTAATATCTGTCACTAGTCGAAATCTACTTATATGTCGTAATATTCATGTTATTCCTTTATTTTCTCGTATCATAGGCGGTCTTGAGAGGTGTAATACAGTTTCCTTGATGTAACATTGTTGTCGCACTTTCTCCGTAATTTTTTTGGATTATACAAAATATTCTATGAATTTTGTTACCGTAAATAATGCCATGTATATTGAAATTACTGAATAATAATTTTATAAAAATTGAAGATTAGTTAGTAGACCCTTTTCCTTTGCTTTATGGCGTATCAATTCCTTACCTTGCTTGTTGTTTCTTGTTTACCGAGTTTCCCGTGTCTCGCGTTTTAATAGATGTTGTGTTGTCTATTGTCTTAGGTTTGGTGTTGTGTCCGCCAAACCCTCGCCATGGACGGCGTTGGGGGCCGAAGGCGAACGGCGACGAAATCGTCTGCCGAAGATCAGGCTCTCGACCAAATCGCCAAAGAGGTAAGTTCAAATTTTAAATCGACAATTCTCGCTGCAAACGTCGTGAATAATCGCAAAATTAATATACCTAGTGATAGTGGCATCCCCGTTTGTGTTGCAGTCTGATTTTTTTGTAAATATTTATGTAATATCTTAGGTGATTGCTCAATATTATCTCGTGTACGTCATTGACGTTGTATTGGATACTCGTAGTCGCATGCGCAGATGCGAATCATTTGCATCCAATTTTGAATTCCTATACAGGGTGTCTCATAATTAGCTGCCAACCCTGAACAGGCCGATTCTATGATCAAAACTAAGTAAAAAAGTTCATATGAACATGGGTCCGGAAATGCTTCCTAAGGGCACAGGAACCCATTGAAGAGGGAGGAATGGAAATCAATTTTTTGCAATATCTCTCAATCGCGTTGTGATAAATGAATGAAATTTGGTATACACAGCTAAATTTTGATGAGCAATTTGATGGACTAATCCATTTATTTCCACAAGGTCCATTGGGGTGGGTACGGGGGGGCCCTTGGTACTTTGCGTGTGTAACTTTTTCATCTTTGACTTTTTAACAAATTGGACAGCAAATTCCGTTTTCCCGAACTGTTTTACGTTAAAAAGGTACTCTTGTTTCAAATCGTTATCTTTAACGGTTTCTGAGAAAATCGCTCTTGAATTAATCCCACTTTGGTCAATTTCATAGTAATTTAAACAAAAAAAAATATTTTGTTTCAATTTAATCTAGTTTTAATAAAAAAATAATAATAAAAAATTAAATTAAATAAAAATTAATCCTTTAAATGGAAAAGAGAGGAAAGGAAAATTATTATTATTATTTTTTGTTTAAATTACTATGAAATTGACCAAAGTGGGATTAATTCAAGAGCGATTTTCTCAGAAACCGTTAAAGATAACGATTTGAAACAAGAGTACCTTTTTAACGTAAAACAGTTCGGGAAAACGGAATTTGCTGTCCAATTTGTTAAAAAGTCAAAGATGAAAAAGTTACACACGCAAAGTACCAAGGGCCCCCCCGTACCCACCCCAATGGACCTTGTGGAAATAAATGGATTAGTCCATCAAATTGCTCATCAAAATTTAGCTGTGTATACCAAATTTCATTCATTTATCACAACGCGATTGAGAGATATTGCAAAAAAATGATTTCCATTCCTCCCTCTTCAATGGGTCCCTGTGCCCTTAGGAAGCATTTCCGGACCCATGTTCATATGAACTTTTTTACTTAGTTTCGATCATAGAATCGGCCTGTTCAGGGTTGGCAGCTAATTATGAGACACCCTGTATAGGTAGGAATTTTTTGTTGTAAGTACTTCCGCTTTAAATTTTCCCCTAAACAGATTCAAGAACAAGTACCATCCGCAATAGTAGGTACAATAATTTATTCTAGGGTTTCTTAAACTGTAGTTCGTGAAGTGGCTATAGGGCGAAATAATTTCGTTTTATTTATTCACTGTTTCAGTTCATTTGATTATATTAAGACAGGTGCACATATAAGCCAAGCAAATTAAATTTTTACTCGAAAAAAGTCCTATCCGCGAGATTATTGTAAAATTGTCTAAAGGAATATAATACCAGACATCTCTCATCTCGTGAGTCAAAAACTTTTATTAGCTAACTTTTCAATTTAAACAAATAAGTGAGGAAAACAGTTTTTTCACGAATGTATATACTTTACAGCACTATACTTTCTCTAAAGTGACAGATAAATAGGTCTTTTTTAAATATGCAACAATTTATTTTTTATCGTTTTTGATAATTCTTCAAAATATGCCAATAATATTATTACTGTTATGCAGCCGTCTACCAATATATTCATTATAATTATTGTTTATATCACAAGAGGCACAACGTTAATTATATAAGCCAGGTTATCGAAACTAAATAAACGTGGTCTTGTGGCTTAAAGTGTTACGCGTTGTCGTACCAATCCAAAGGTTCGGGGCTCGATCCCTGATGAGGTACGGTTTTTTTTCAATTAATATAATATTTCGAACGTAATTTTTCATCGTCCACATTTCAAGACAAATATTTCTGCACCAGTTGCTGGTCACGAAGTGAATAATTTCTCACAGTGTTGCCAAATATCTGCTGATTCGATGCGCGCTAGATTGCTTGTTAAATTCTGCCAGAAAATCGTGAAATATAAAATACAGATAAGTAGGGTTAGACCAAGCAAATTAAATTTTTACTCGAAAAAAGTTCTATCCGCGAGATTATTGTAAAATTGTCTAAAGGAACATAATACAAGACATCTCTCATCTCGTGAGTCAAAAACTTTTATTAGCTAACTTTTCTATTTAAACAAATAAGTGAGGAAAACAGTTTTTTCACTTTGCAGGGAAAACCATCAATTTTAGCGAAAAGTGACTCTCA